CATAAATACTTGACACCCGTTTCCTCCTCGTCCTCGCTGCTCCTGTACCTGATCGTACGCCCATCACCAAAACACCACAAACAAGACGGTCTTTTGGAGATAAAGTTGAGGAAAATTACTGCAAATATGTGGAAGTACAGAAAGTTGTGCACACAAGCATCGGCGCTGCTATCAAGGTCCCGGTCTGCCTCACTCCAGATCACGCAGAACCCAAGGGAGGATGCAGAATAGGATTAAATATCTCGTTTTCTGTTTGGTTCACAGCTTCGGTGGCATTGAGCAGGCGAGCTTCATGATGCTCTGCTGGAAGGCTGCTGGTGGAGTCTGCAGCGGGTCTGGGTGGTGTAGGACTCTTTAACCCGCAGAAATCTGTATGTTTACGCAGAAGGTCTCCGCTGGCACATGCAGGGAAGTTAGTGTGGACGTCAGGCTGGAAGCTGCAGCGTTTTGGTGTCACTTTAGGACCTTCAGGAGTGTGTGGCATTTATTTGGTGTGTGCAGAGTTTTTCCTCTATTCTGTGAGCAGCTGAATGAATTGTTAAATCAGAAATTATAATCTGGATAAAATACCTGCATCGACTCGCCGCCTGGTTTTAGTCACATCAGTGAAACTAGTCAGAAGACACGACTTAGATCAGTTGATATTTAAATTAAACCACATGTATTTTTCATTCAGTTCAGACGGTGCCATGATTGCTGGTTTAGACTAAACTAACACCGTTGTTCTCCTCGTTAGTGAACCAGGAGGACAGGTCGCCCACTGGGGTAACCCTAACATGTCAAACGCTTCATGTTTGTGGACGTTCGACTGATTTTAAATAAAAATTAATTCCCCTAATTAATAAACAAAGATCCTGTAAGTGATACTGATCAGCTGGTTTGTTCACTAATTAAAATATTGTAAATAATATTGATTAAATGACCTTTTATAGCTGCAAATTCAAGCCTGTGTTGTTAAATAGACGTTGTTGTGACGAGGTGGTCGAGCTGCAAACAACCGTCCACCTACAGTCCTTCAATTCAAATCCAAAGCAGTTCAAATTTAAATTAAAACAGTGTCGCGGTTATTTGTTGAAAACTACTTTTTTAATCTTATCAAGGAGAACCTTTAGTGTGAATGTATGTGTGGACTGATGATGTTTAATTTAGACACATTTATATGAATATTTAATTAGATTTGCATCAGAAGCTAATTTAAAGTCAGTATGTTTAGTTTTTCAGATTTCAAGCTGTCATTTAAAAGTTATTTCCTGTCGTTGTGAATTTCCAACATGGTGCTTCGATCATTTTAGGAGCAGATTTACTGTGTCAGTGACAGAAGTAGAGAAAACAGGATTTTGAATTTAAACATTGATTAAAAAGCAATCACAGTGATTTAGAGTGATTGATCCTGTAGATAATATTCATCAGTGAGTCTGTAGATCCTGCTTTACCCAGTGTGCATATACAGGGTGGAGACATGGTGAGATTCAGGCTGGACGCTCTGTTTTTATATCACCTGAACTGTTACCAATAATCAGAGTGTGACATTCGTCTCCACACGAAGCCACGTTGAGTCCAGATCATAGCCGAGCCTAAGTGGCGGCGGCGGCAGGATGCAGAGCTTTATTTACTTTACAAGTAAACACTGTGTATTTTTATATCCTTGCAGCCAGCAGTGGTTGTCATTTCAGCCCGTGAAATCAGCAGTCGGCGGATAAACAGAAGCCTCGCTGCCATGTTCATCGCCCGTGAATGTGATTACAGCTATTGATCGATAGACAATGACACGATGCTGCTGGATGTCACCTAAGGAGAGAGTGTGCGCCGTGTGAAACCCAGGAACAGAACGGAGAGAGAGTGTGTGTGTGTGTGTCCATATGCTGGTGCGTGTTGGTCCATATGCTGGTGTGTGTGCGTGTACACACACTGCATGCTTGCCTGTGTGTTTGCAGTGTGGGTGCATGTTAAGCCCGGATCCAGCGCGGTAATGTGAGATCAGACGTAGCCTGTTAGCCGGAGCCTTACATCTGCTGTCAGCCACTCGCTCTAACTCTGTTAAGGACGTTATTGATTGCTCATTATTACCCCGTTCCCTGAAAGATGAGCGTCCCCTATGATCACATTAAATCTCTCCCTTGTCCAATTCTCCTGAGATGCCTTCTGCTCATCGGTGCCCATCAAATTTCTCCTCCGAGATCTGATATCAAGCAGCCTGACATTCCCTATTGCCTCCACTTCTCTGTGCGTCTTGTTTGATTTACTCCAAATAACTGTCTGTTTTTTTTTTCTCTCCTTTCCTGTTCTTTTTTCTTTTTTTTTTTTTGAACGGACGCAGTTTAGCTAATTGATGTCTTTAGTCTGTGTAATGGAAATCAGCAAACACGGATGAGCAACATTTGAAATTATGATTTGTTTTCTTTTTATTAGTGCAAAGAGACGCGTCGGGTTTTCATGTTAACTTTGTGATCCGTGTTTATTGACTTGATAGCAAACAAGAGGAGCTGACAAGAAAGTCATAATATGTACTTTATTTTTCAGACTGGGGCTATTTTTGCTCCATTTAAAAGGCACCTGGTGGTGAAAGGGTTTTATTAAAACCATCATGTCAAACTTAGAGCCTCGTTTAAAACTTACAAATCCGCCTTTGCTGACAAATTCCTCCCCCTTTAAAGTCGCGTGCCCTTTCTCGTGCCTCAGGTTGTCATTTTCGCTGACGATAAACAGTTGTTGAAGGTGTCATGCGTCCGCCAGCCCCTGTAAAGTTTGGCACTGTTGAAATCCAGCCCTCACTGAGAGGCCATCTCATCGGCCCCCGCCGTCCCCATGAATAATGCAGAGCTATCGACTGTGTCAGTTGAGCGCGAGGAGACGCGGCGGCAGCCAGCTTGATATTCAGCTGCTGAAGCTGACTGGATGCCCTCACTTTGAGACAAACTGCTGGCAGACTGCTCTGACTTGAACAGACAGGACCTGAATGTGCTCATATGAGATGAGCACCGTTGCGCTGGTGCGGAGGTAGAGTGTGTCCCAAGGAAGCCCGAATTTCTGTTCGAGTGGGCAGAGAGGCAGGAATACGTGTCCATAAATCTGTGTACGTACAAATATTTGCCGTCCTCAGCTGTGCGGCTCATAGATCTGCATGTTTATGTGCACCACGGTCTGGAGATGCGTGTTGGTACGTGCGTCCTCCAGCCTGCAGCTTGCTTGCAGAGAGCTCTAGTGAGAATCTCCTGCCCCCTCGACACGACCAGTTCAGTCTCAATGCCACCGATCGATGGGCGTATTGATCCGCTGTTTGACTGTTTAGACAACCTGTGTGAATTCCAGCATAATGTGAAGCACAGTGGATTTAAAGACGTGCGCGCGAGCCTTCGCCGACTCGTGTCTGCTCACCTGCTGGAGCATCCTGGTTCCTTCTAGCGCCTGAAGCTCCGCATGTACCCAGACACATGTGGGTTCAGGTGGAGAGCTGCAGGACGGGTCCGACCGGAGCTCGTAGCGGATATCGGTGGGATTTGAATCCTGTCATCCTTCATACTCCACCATCAGAGGTGTGGCATTAAGATAAATGAAGTTTATTTCTGAGTCATTGTGATCAGAGAAATGGAGAAATGATAATAAATGTTTTGAACACAGCAGGTTAAAGCCGTGACCTTCGACCTGCCTTCACACCTGGATTCACTGCAGGACCTGGTGTTGAGAAAGACTGGTTTAGAGTTTTAGTCCACATAACCTCAACTGTTGGTGCTCTTTCTGTATGTCCTGTTGGAGTAACATCAGCATTATTAGTTACCTGTTCTTGCAAAAAGCAGATCATGAGATGAACTCGTTTTGCATAATTAGGGGTGTGGCCACTTTGAGTCCCAGGTGTTGTCATTTGCACGGCTCGCCTCCACCTCTGGTTATATTTTAGTGATCGATGCTGCAGAATCCATCCTAACGTACGGTTTATGTGGTACAATAACAGTCTGTAGTTACATCTCTAGTGGACATTTTTAAGCAAATTTATAGAAAATCGATGGAAGAAAAGTGTCGCTGTACATTTCCCCCACTGCTGCTGGTATCCGGGCAGTTGTTGACACCAGTTCTGTGGCTGGTGGAAGCGGATGATGATGTAATTATAAGCGCCAGTCAGACTTAATGTGATCTAAAGGGTGTGTTCGTGTATTAATTTGAGCATTCTCATCTCTGCCCTCCCAGTTTACGTTCAGATCACATGCTTCCGTGCTCATCAGGGTTTATTCATCCCGTTTTATTGATTCCTCAGTCGGAGCATGAAAGCTTTCAAGTTTTTTTTTTTTGAGGTTGGGGGGAATCTTTTTTTTTTTTTTCCTGGTGTTTTTATGCACAAAATCGAAAAATGTGCATGAAAACAGGTGGACTGTGAGACTCGCAGATCTGCTTCAGTCGCAGCGAGAGAAGGCGTAAGTTGGCAGATCTCGCCAGCATCTATGTGAAGTGTGCAGGATTTGACACTTCAAACATGCACCGTGAAGGATCCTGCAAGTTCACAGGCTGGGGGTAGAGGTTATCCCAGCCAGGGCCTCCTCACTAACTCACTCACACACACACACACACACACGCGGGCTTGCACGTGCACCACTCAGGGCGGGTGTTAATCTCCACCAACTGCTGTTTAACTCTAATCTTGCTCGCTTGCCAAGTGTTTGATACACTGCAAAATCCATCCTAACGAGTTGTGACACTCTGAAGCCTGGTTCTGATGCATTAGCCTACCTGATGAAATGACACTTTGCAGACAGTTTGCTGTAATTGGTAGGTGTTTGTTTGGTTTTTTTTAATGCATTTTCTCGTCTCCTTGGAAAGACAAGAGATAAAAACCCTTAGCTTGGGCCAGTTGTGTTTAATGGGCCGGTTTTTGCAGTGCAGTTATTATTTGGCACCGAGCGAAGCCGCCGCTGTTGTTAGAAGTAGAAAACTATGGAGCTGTGGTCCAGTTCACTGTCTGACTGAGTGCACCCCCCCACCCAACATCTCAACCCCCCTCCCCTTCCAAATCACCCACCCACACACACACACACACACACACACACACACACACACACACACACACACACAGCCCAGTGCAGACAGACATAAATGCATCCACAGATGGTGACACTCCAGCAGTCACTCCTAGGCTGTCTGTCTACGTGCCAGCGATGATAACACACACAGACACACACAGACATATGCACACGCATACACACAGCCTGGCGGCAACAAACACGGTGATGCATCATTGAGCATCGGCTGGTTTTTCTCTAACTGCTGAGGGGAAATCAGTGTGGTGTTAAGTAACCATTCATGTGGAGCCGAGACCACACACAAACAAACAGCGCACCTACACTTCTAAAAATACATCTACCTCACCAGAATAATGTAATGTGATTGAATAATATGAAAGTTCTCCCGCAGTCAGGACTTGTGTACGTATTACCGACGAGCAAGCTCCTCCACCACTGATCATTGATATGTTAATCCGGCTGCAGTATCACTATTTAATTCCCATGACAAATATCTCTTGTGCGCTTTCAAACTCTTACTTGGATTGTGATATATTCATTTGTTGATGCATTGTTAATGTTTCCACTCTGGTTCGGAGTGTGCTGTGTAGGTAATCGCCCACTCCGGGGCTGCTGCGCCGCTGTTTGTGATGTGGATCTTCCTGAGGATTGTATTTGAATAATGAGGGAGGCTGGAGCGTTCTCTTGTGCAGAGTGTCTCCGCGCTGCCGCAGTAAATGACCTCTGAATAGTTGTTTTGGATTAGCCATCAAAGTCTTCTCTCGAAGTGGCCAATAGATAGGTACTTCCAGAAATGAGTCACTTGAAAATGATCATTGCCGCCGTTGCCGTATAAGATAATGGATAACCATTACACTCCATTTTCCCCAGCTCCTCACCCACACAACGCCTGCTCTTGAAATATGATGCATCCACTGTGCTTAGTGAGCACTTAATGTCCAAAAGCACCGTGTTTGTTGAGATTTACAACTGCGCCGGCAGGAGGGGGGTAGAAGAAAGAGTGCGTCGTCGGCGTATAATGTTGTTCACTCAATAATTATCTCATTTTATTTACGAAGACAGACAGCTTTAGACGGGGTTAGAGGCTTCCTCTCTATTATCTCCACCTGCCACCCCTCTACTGCAGCCCCCTCCTCCCCCCGCCCGCTCCCCCGCCTGCCCCTAAATGACGTCCTTCATGTCGAGGACTTTCCAAAGTTTGCATGGAGGAGGAAGGGGGTAGCGCGTCCTCAGCGCCGCTTGTGTGCAAAGAGAAAAAAAAAAAAAAGACGACAAAATTACAACCGAGTTCTCCTGCATTGGTGGTCGGATCGATGTCATTTCTGAAAGGATTAGGCCTCCTCTCAGAAATCTATTTTAATTACTGAACACACAGGTAAACAAAGTGGTGGTGGTTCACAGGTATGGATCTGGGCGTCAGAGGAGTATTGATAGTATGTGGCCCCATGTTAACCCCGGGGCCGCTCGCTAAGATCCCGCCGGCTGCACCTCAGGTGGGAGCAGCAGCCAGAAGGCGGTTTGGAGGGAATGCCGATGTAGACGTACGGCTGCTCCCGCCGTCACCTGACAAAGGCTGCAGCCGTGGAGGGTGGAGGTCTGACTGACGGTGTTAGTTCTACAAGTTATTCACCGTCTGGATTACTGACGCTGGTTTATGTTCCAGATCAACGGCGTTCAAGTTATCCATCAGCGCAGGAAACTGCAAGTGGAGTCTGACGAGGTGTTTATTAGTAATACTCGTATTAATTTGTAAGTAATTTATCATCATGAATAAGCCATTAGCATTATCTGGAAGCCTGTGAAAGATAATGGCCTGTTTATGAGTTTAATGGATCAGTGATACGAGTGAGTAAAGGATTTATTAACACACTCAGTGTCTTCATGTAGCGACGTAGAAATCAATTTATAAAGCTTTTATTACTATTATTAGGACTGACACGCCCTGACAAGGCGTAGCTACGTCAATAACATGTTAAAGGTGCATTAATAAAACATTAATAATCACTTACAAAAGCACTTATTTGGGTTTTTACTCATAGATTTTATTTTGTCAGTATGTAGTTTATTAAATAATAAAGTATTTACACTAAAGCTGTTTATAATGTACACCATAATATATTAATGAACCCTTAACGAAGGCTTCTTAAGAGTTAACGGGTTTGTAATAAGGCTGTAATTTAGCCAGTAACTAATAAATGATTTATAACTTAATAACTACATTACTAACACCTAGAAATGTTTTTTTCTGTTAATATTTTAATACATCAGTATTAAGAGCTAATAAATGATTTATTATTTTTTAAAAACACTTTATTAATGATTTATTAATGACTTAAATGATTTTGGAAGCCCAGTAGGTCAGTGACATTAATAATTAAGTCGCCTATTAATATAAAGAAGACGTTATTAAAAAGTAAATTCTGCCTGAACGATAGTTTCTAATAAATGTCATGAGCAAAAACTTCTAAAGCAACTAGAAAGTTTGATAAGTTGAGTTTATGAGGTAAATAAGTGTTTTAATAAACTGTTCATTAACACTCTGTAGGTCAACTTTCCCCTCAAAATATAAAAACAGGAAACACACCTCCGTTAGGCCCACTCTCATGTTTATGTGCATGTGCAGCAGCAACACGGCAGCTACATGTATGTGTTTCCCCCTGTTGATGTGTGTTTTTTGCCGGCTCGTGAAAGGTTTTTGCTTTTCTGAGTGATGAAAGAGGAGCTGTGGAGATGCTGCCGGGGTCGTGACACTGTTAGAGCACAGTGGTGGTGAGAGTCTTTACAGATGTTTTGTTCGCCAGATAAGAATAATCTGTTTGCCTCAGCAAGCCTTATGTTTCTACGTGTGTCCTGCGTGTGTCTGTCTTCATTCTTGCCGACACGACCGCCAGTGTGTGTGTGTGTGTGTGTGTGTGTGTGCTGTCTTTGAGGAAGGAACCCTGCGTGGAGCCGGGTGATTAGGCACGCTGCGCTAGTCACAGGAAATGGAGTATCTGACGGACAGGCCGAGTGCATTATAGATGAATGCCATGCGTTAGCGGCTCCGAGCCCCCGCCGAATATCTCTCAATTTCCTCTCTGAATGACAAAAGAAGCCACGCACAATTTCCTTGATCCGGAGCATTTGTTTAACTGCGCCCTACCCATTTAACCCACCCATTCAATAGTCTGTCTAGTAAAAGGAAATTTAGACAGTGTCAATTTATACAGCTCTAAGGAAGATCTGATACCGGCAGGCAGGGCCGCCGCCGCCGCCGATACGCCTCCGGAATTTAGTTAGAGATTTACAGCAGTTTAGTCCGATTCCTTCAGCGAGCTAAATTTAGAGTCGTCATTAAACATCCACTAATATTTTTAAAGCCTCCATACCGCCATGAAGCTGAGCTCCTGCTCCGCAAACATTTCAAAGTGTGATGGTCAAAGCTGCAGCAAACTAATCAGGAGGTCAGAGATCACTGATTACAATGAATATCAGATTTTTTTTAAGATGCTGTCATTTGTCAAATATCCTTATATCGCCGCTCCGAGCTGTCATCTTTACAGCAATCTCTCTCCCCCCTTCGCTGTCTTTGAGTTAGTGACAGCTCATCTCTCCCGGTCACTGCTCGCCGTCTAGACTTTGAACTCGCTCTGTTTACTCCCTTATCTGTTGTTGTTGTTGTTGTTATTGTCGTCGCTTTCCGACAGACTAGTCGTCGTTGTAATGGTAAGTTGTGGCTGAGCTTGAATCGGAGGCTTCAAAGATGTGAATTCGGGGCTATTTTCAGAGGAAGGAGTCTGGCATGGAGGACGGATTTTGTTTTCTGTCACCGAGGATGGAAATGAAATTTAGTTCATCTGTTAACATGTGTTTATTTTTCTTGTAGTTCAGTTTTAAACAAATAAACGTTGTTAATAATGACATTTGTGTCACTTTTTGGCTCCAGAGAGGACGGATGGATTCAGTTTAGATTGTAGTGTGTGTGTGTGAGAGAGAGAGAGAGAGAGAGAGAGACACCCGCTCATGACTAATTTCATAATTAATTGCCTTTTGGAGGACCTAATCACATTATTTGACTCTCTACTGTAGGTTGTGTGCCAATACAGCGTAGCCCGTGGCTTAGTCACAGTGTGCCGGACTCATTAACAAGGCGGTCCACAGGTTGTCAAACACACACAAGGCCCGTGTGCACGAGAACACACACACACACACACACACACAGAGGATGTTAAACTAAACCCCCGTACTGTACGCTGCTTATTGAGGTTTTTCCGTGCAGTGATTTAGAGGTTAAAAGATGCCCTCTGGTGTATTTGATAAGGATTTGAATAACTGGCTGGTTAGATTTCCCCGGTGGTGTGTTAAAACAGGTCTCTCTTGATGAAGTTATCGCTTGTCATGCAGCTCCCTCTCCTCCTCCTCCTCCTCCAACGCTTGCCCCGAGACACCGGAACAGATTTTTAAAACAGAATTACGACACGATAGTTTGTTTTTGAAGGTCTCCGGTGTCTGTTTATGTTAGAAAGACAAAGAAAGGGCGCGCACGTCGGTACGTCTTGTCTCGGATCGTGTGTGTGTGTGTGTGTGTGTGTGTGTGTGTGTGTGTGTGTTGTGCGCGCTGGCATGTCGGCGGCAACATGTGTGCCGGCATCTCTGCTCCACACACATACACATACGGCTTAATTATGACGTTACCAAAATGGGCAGTTTGCTCTGACACCCCGCTTGCAGAATCACACAGCGGACAGACTTAAAAGAGCTCATTAGCTCTCTCTAAAGAGCTGTTTACTGCACATACACACACGCACAGTAATAGGCAGCTCTGTTGATGCAGATGGACGCCGAGTGTAATGAGAATGATTAGGCTTCTCTATGTGGAGGCTGGAGGAGAAAGAAAAAAACTGGCAGACTTGACGCTTCAGAAGGTGGAGAAGATTTCTGTTGGATGTTGTTTCAGCTGAGTGCACGATCTCTCTCCCTCCCTTTTTTTTTTTTTCTCCTCTTCTCTGCACCACACACATCTCTTGATATTTTTTTTTTTAACTCACACACTTTACTGCATGTGTCCATCCAAATGCTTTGCAAATTTCCCCCCAGGCCTTACAACCCCTGAAAGATGCTGGACATAGAGAAAATCAAATATGCTGCAGCCTTGCAGCTCCATCGAAGTGCTGTAATAAGACAAAAAAAAAATGAATGGAAAGAATTCAGCTGCTCTGCTAAAATTTGGATGAAGCCTCCTGTAACCCTGATGAAGGCCACTGCACCCAAAACACACTCATTGCAATATTAAAGCTCGCGCAAATTGGGCTCCGCAAGTAGCTGAATTCTTTTCATATTTTAAATAAGGAAAGGGCCTTGACAGTTTCTAAAAATGAAAGGGGGATGTTTTTATCAAACACCCAAAGAAAAACACTGTGACGGATATTTGTGTTGATTTGGATCCGTGTCTTTGAATCCTTTGACAATGATTCCACTGACTTTTTCAATGACTTTCAAGGTTGCTCAGGGTGAGCAAAGGGCTGTAATAAGGCCCCGCCCTTCCTGCGCCGCCACGTTAAGCGACTTTGCTGTGCTCATTGCCCCTGGTTTACATCACATTGAATTAGAGGATACACCCCTGAACGATACCAAAGTCAATCCTCCTCCATCTCGTCCATATGTTTTGGAGAAGGAGCAGCGAGTTCAAAGCGCTCAGTTCAAAGCATCTGTCCTCATTTGAATAACGTAGAGTAATCGCTATTACCTTATTTAAATAGTGCAAGTTATCATTTGGCCTTCATTTGCATTGCTGGGGTAATCACTGCGTCTCTGCATTAACCTCATTATAGAAGAGATGAAAGCCCTGATGGAGCCTGACACACTCTTTTATATATATGTTATCTTTATTAATGATGGAATTAGAAAGATTCGTGTTTCTTTAAACAGAGCACATAGCGGGATTTGATAGAGTGTCAGGCTCTGCGGAGGGATGACTTACGAGGATGTTTTTGTGTGTTTTCCAGCTATCGGTCCTGCTTTGATATTTCCCCCCATCATCTTCCTCCCTCTTCCTCGTCAGCATCCCTCCCTCCATCTTGTTTTTATTTCTTTATTCCATTAGTCTGGATTTTCTGCAAAGGAGCATCATTTTTATTATTATTATTTTTGTTATTGTTTGCGTTGTACATCACTGTGAAAGAAACTAACCCGTAAATACATTTAAATACCTGATTCAGCCAAACAAAACAATGATGCTACACTGCTAAGCTAGGCTAGCTACTTAAATTAAACTATGAAAATGGACAGTTTTTAGCCACAAACTTATAATTATTAACGTATTTGCACTAACGTAATTTGTTGGAAATACTATTTAAGCTACCAAAATGTCAGTTTGTCACATTTTAGTTTTTTAATTGCATGTAACAAAAGGAAAAAATGTACTTTAGCTATGCTAGCCTTCGTTAGCTCCAGCTTGGCATTACTTTGGCTAACTAGTTGACTGCTGTTCTTCAATATATTGTATTTTTTCCTTGACTACCTCTGCTAAATGAGATGGCTAACTAATTTTCCCAAATGTCACAGTTTATCACAACTTTATATATAACAGCTTGAGAAACTGTTAACCTTAGCTTTAGCTGAGGCTAGTTGTGGCTAATGTCTCAGCTAGCTTTCGCTTGATGTAGCTCTCTAGCTTTAGCTGAATAGTACGAACATTCAATTATAGTGCAGATTAAGAAGTGTATTTAAGAAAATAAACATTATTTCTAATATTTTAGTTTGATAATTAATTGTAATTAAATGTGTGTTTAGATTGTGACTGTCTGTTCATCTTATTTATATTTAAATCACATATAAATACATGGTTTAGACCAAAACAAACGAATGCCATTTAAATGAGGCCTTATCAGACTGAGGTGGTTTCTCTGTGCTTGGTGTTTATTTCTCCATGTAGTTCACCTTCATTATATGGGATGGCTCACCAAATCACCAGGATGTCACTTTATCACATTTTGGTTTTATAATTCCAGATAACTGCCGGGGACATGATTAGCTGACCGTTCCCCCGTCAGACAAAATGCTTCAGAGTCCATCCAGAGTTGTAAAAAGATGCAGCCAGACACTAACAGCCGTTTGGGCAGCGCTACAGAGCAGTCGGGTTTTAGCTCTGATGCAAATGTAAGATGCCACGTTCATGAAAATTACATATTTCTCTGACAGTATGTTTTCTATATGGTAATACAGCCGTCACACACTCCCATTCTGTTCCAGTGCTAACCAACGTACTGGTTTGTGTGTTTTAGGGCCGACATCTATCATCCGCCTCGTAGTTCTATTGATCGGCTGCTGAACTCACTGTGAGATCTGTCATTTTTACTTTTGCACCCATGAAGTGGCCCAATAAAAGCAAGAGCAGGTGTCACATCATAAGATCTATATTTATGACACTGTTCTGTGTCCTGCTGCTTTAAATCCTCACTTCTTACCATAATCATGAAGCGGCTGCACCATAAAAACCGACTTTATTATCATGTGTGCTTGAGGCCAGAGGTCAAGTTCTGTATGATGACGTTGTGCTCGATGGCCAGAAGAGGTCAATAATTAGATTAGTGAATGGAGGCTTGCTGAATGCGCCTTTAAATGACATGCGAAGGTGGATCTTTCTGCAGCAGTGTGGACTGACCTCGCGTCACTCAGGCTGTTGGGCCTGTTTGGCTGCTGAAAGGTGGTGAGAAGACGTCCAGTAATTATAGCTCCTGGAGCAGATGGATGGGAAGCAGACTTTGGAATAGCGCGAGAAGGTGTGTGTCTGGACTGATGGTTGAACACGCTGCTCTTCACACATGTATTATTTAGTGATGCTGAACAGCTCATGTTGGAACAATAGAGGTTTCATGTACGCTGGCAGAAGAACATTTGGCTTCTGGCTACGCATCACACGCGAAGCTTCACAGCACGAATCTGAGAGAAAGTGTTGGATATGTTTGATGATGCTGTGATATGAAGTATTGATGGATAATAATGCTTTATTGACAGAATAACAAACTACGTCCTGGTTTGAAGCCCGACACTCAGATTGAATTTTCTCCACCAGCTCTGAAGTTAGTGAGATTGAAATTGCTGTTACATCACTGCATGGAATCACAAGTAGTCATCACTGAGGTGTGCAAAGACTTTGTGCCATTAGGTCTGTGCAAATAATAGATATTTGACTCACTCATGACTCATGCATGTGTTTGGTAAATATGCAGCCGTTTCTCTTATTGTCTATTAAAAATAAGAGACACTTTAACCGTTTTAACATCAGAACTGAGCTGCTGTGGAATCTGTATTTGGCCTAAAGCCTCATTTTCTTTTATTTTTGTCTGGTTTTCTGACTTGTAATTTTCTCCTTGAAATACTGCCCTTTTCCAGCACTTCTTCCACTTTAATATATTCTTAATATTAAAGGAGCCTCCCAGCTAATACAAAACTTTCTGCGGCTTGGCTCTTTGTCTGAGGTGTTCCCTGCTTGTACAATGGGAGGATGACGGGCTTGCCAGCCCCTGCAAGACTCCCCTCGGCTAAAATGTTGTAAATTAACACAATTAGCAGATCGCCATTCTGCTAATTAGCCACTGGCGTCTGCCGAGAGATGGCTAGAGAGGAGAATCAGAGAGGAAATGGGAGTCTAGGGATTCCCCCCTCCCTGCCCGTGTTGTTACCAAACAAACACAGGCCTCGCAGAACAGAGCACCACAGTGTGAACGTGTGTTTGTGCCGCCGCCGCCGTGCGCTTTTTTCACATGTATGTGTTTGTAGTAGCATAAATGGATGGGAGGAAGGGAAGATGTGCTCCTCCGTGAATGGGTTTTATTGTGCGTGCCTGCTGTACTCACACAAGCACAAGAACACACACATAAACCAATTGTGAAGCAGGGATTGCTCACCAGACCCCCAGCTGTGGGTCTCTACATGCAACCGCTGCCAGTCAATAAGTCGGAGGAAGCAGCCTAAATGACACCGATATTATCCTTTATTTGTGTGCACTAAGTCAAATCAAACGGGGTTCAATCTGCCGTGCGGCTGCTGTGATTACGCCCTGTCCAGCCTTTGATAGCGCCTCGGCTTTGATAGTGAGACAACGATGGAGTCGCTGTGTGACTGTCAGTGTTTGCAGATGGCATTGGCTGGGATTAAAGGAAACAGTGGCTCTCCAGCCTCCTGAGGCAATAAAGGGGAGAGCCAGGTGAGTGTGTCTGAGATGAGATGGAGCAAGGAAGGAGGGAAGGGGAGGAGGCGAAGCAAGCACACAGGGAGTAAATAAGAGGAGGGGTGGCTGTGAAGAAAGGGGATGGAAAAAAGAGATATATATCGAAATAGATGGAGTCAGAATAAAAGGAGGTGAAGAGAAATAAAGACAGATCTAGCAGGAGGGGAGGTGGAAAATGGATGACCAAAAAAAAAAGAAGCAGAGGGGAGAGGCTGAGAGGGAAGACAAGGCGGCAGGGAGGCATGAAACAGAGAGGCAGACAGAAAGGTAAAGAGAATGGTAGCGAGAGAGGAGGTCAAGGTGGAGCTGTGCAGACAGGAACTAAGCTTGAGACACAATGTGTTGTAATTCATAGCTGGCTGCAGCTCCTGTGTGCGTGCCTGTGTTTGTCCGTCTGGGTCAGTGGATGTAAGCTCGTGTGTGAGCGTGTGCACGTCAGCACGCATGAGTGCCGGCATAGATAGTTTTTTTAAACGCCTGTGAGTCTGAGCACAGGGCTGTGTGTATGTGCTGAATGAAAGCAGAGGGGGGTGGATGTGTGTGTGTTGCTTTGTGGCACTCGGCGAGGCGCATTTTCAAACCCATCTCCAGCCACCTCAGATGAGCCAGGGATTATAGAGTGACCCTCAATGCCTCTGTCTTATTGGTCTGCCCAGGGTGCATTAGGCTGCCGTAACCAGCCGTCCCTCTGCACCACACTATACCTGCTCATGCTTCTCCTTCAGCGCTGCAGACATTAGCAGATAAATGTCACCTTTTTAATTGACCAGCCTCTCATTCAGGCAATTTGAAGGTGTTGTCATTTTAATTACTGCTACAATGATTTTAGTATTTCACCGTGTCTTTGTCTGTTTTTCTCTCAGGCTTAAAGATGCAGTGGACCCCAGAGCACAGCCAGTGGGCCGAACAGCATTTTGACATCTCTTCCACCACGCGCTCACCAGCCCACAAGGCTGAGGCCTACCGGGCGGTACCGGGCCACCTGCAGCGCTCGGCCACCTACCAGTACGCCTGGGCCAATGACGACATCTCCGCCCTCACCGCCTCCAACCTGCTCAAGAAGTACGCCGAGAAGTACTCCGGTATTCTGGAAATGCCGGGCTCGTATTCTGAGGCGCCCGGCGTGATGAACGGACGGAAAGGTGAATCCGAGCCCTGGCAAGATGGCGTCTACCCCATGAGCTGCATCCCAGAGGGGGTTTCTGTTAGAAAAGGAGGCGTGGCGGCGGCTTCAGAGGTTGTGTCTGGCATGTGCAGCTCCCCGGGCCTGGCGTCCAGCACCCTGAGCGAGCCCAGCTACTCCAGCAGCAGCTGTGGGAGCCACAGCGCCACCGCCCTGCACTCCTCCTCCATGCCCTCTCAGGAATACGGCCCGGCGTACAGCGGCTCCTACCTGCACAGTAGTTACAGCTCCCAGTCCGCCCCCACCCCGGCACTTCCGTCCCCGCTGCACAGCTCTGGGCTTCTGCAGCCGCCCCCTCCTCCGCCCTCCCATCCCACTTTAGTTCCAGCTTACAATGGAGGCTCCCCGAACTTGTCTAGTTATAATTACCCCCCAGCAGGCTACCCCGCTCAGAGCTCAGTCGGGCCAGGTTACAGCCCTGGGGGGGCACCCCCTCCCTCCTCATACCTCCCCTCAGGCATCGCTGCACCCACTCCCCTTCCGCCCTCGTCTGCATTACCTGGATACCCCTACCAGAGCCACAACCTGACCCCAATTGCCCCCACCCCTCTCAACAGTAGCTCCTCCAACTCGCTGAAGAGGAAAGCCTTCTACATGACAGGCCAAGGAGAGCTGGACTCCGCTTACGGTAACTTTGGCTACAGCCAGGCTCGGAGCTCGGCGGAGAGCCCCATGTACAGGGTAGCAGACAGCAGCAGCGCTAACGGAGGCTCCAACAGCACCAGCGCTGGTGGATTTGACAGGAGTGCTGAGAAGTCCTCTTTACCGTTTAATCCTCAGAAGCAGTCCACGATGCCGTCAGAGCAGCAGCAGCAGAGGAAGTACAGCAGCCAGGCCACAGGTGGGCCGCTGACCCCCCCAGGCTACGTCTCATCCACCCTGGGGGGCTCCCGCTCAGCGGACTCTCTCGCCAGCTTCACCTCCCCGTCCCTCAGTGAGCAGGGTGCTGATGATCACCGTCTCCACCTGTCCCACTCAGCACCAGGGCCTACCTCCTCCTCGTCCACCTCCTCCTCCCGGCCTGCTGAAGAGCAGCTAAAAACCAGTGACCCTCACCTCTTGGACATGGTTACCTCTGAAATCGTTCAGCAGGGCCCACCAGTGGACTGGAGTGACATTGCAGGTCTAGAAATAGCTAAGGCCACCTTGAAGGAGGAGGTGCTGTGGCCCATTCTGCGTCCGGACATGTTCAGCAGTTTAGGACCGGCCCCGCGCTGCGTGTTGCTGTTCGGGCCCCGGGGCAGTGGCAGGACGTTGCTGGGCCGCTGCCTGGCCAGTCAGCTGGGTGCCCCGTTCCTCCAGCTCAGCGGGTCCACGTTGGCCACCAAGTGGGTGGCAGATGGAGAAAAAATCATCCGAGCATCATTCCTGGTGGCGCGCTGCCGGCAGCCCTCAGTACTGTTCATTAGCGAGGTGGACATGCTCCTGTCAGCCCACCTCAGTGAGGAGAGCCCCATCAACCGGCTGAAGGGGGAGCTGCTAGCTCAGCTGGACTCACTTCTCATGGGCTCAGGGGAGGACGGAGGCAACCAAGTGCTGGTGGTTTGCTCGACCAGCAGACCCCAGGACATGGACGAAGGGCTGCGCAGGTACTTTGCTCGGAGGGTCCTGGTGCCCCTCCCGGATAGCGCAGCCCGACACCAGATCATGAACCAGCTCCTGGTCCAATCTCAGCACAAATACTGCTTGAGTGAGGAGGAGCTGGCGCTGCTGGTCCAGCGTACCGAGGGCTTCTCCGGACTGGACCTGGCCAGACTCTGCCAGGAGGCCCTCGTAGGTCTGTTACACGTCTCTGCACAGGGCATGGACATGACGGGGATGATGCCCCGGGGACAGATCAGGCCCCTCACCTACCCGGACATTGAGAGTGTCTTTTGTAAATTCCAAGCCAGTATATCGCAGAAAGAGATTGACACGTACACCGAGTGGAACAAAATGTTCGGCTGCAGTCAGTGAAAAGATAGATTCCGCCCTTGAGAAAAAGAGGCTTCCACAATTCCTCCCCTCAGGGCAGAAGCATTGTGCTGGAGGGAAAGGCACACAGAAGGCCAACACAAGCCCACTGAGTTCTCACAAGCAAAGGTTTAGATGCACCAAGAGACCTGATTTGATGAGACAACTGTCAATTTTGCAGTTAATGAGCAAAGTTTTCATTTAAATGCTTGACACAGGCATTGTTTACACATTGCAAGCAAGTTGACTTCAGAAGAGACGCCCCAGTGTCTGTGTATATATCGTTCCGTTGTTGTTCTTGAGATTTAGTTGGCTATCCAAGTGCCTGAAGTGGTGCTTTCTGATTTTCTTTGTTCATTTGCCTCACAATCTACATTCATGGCATGAGCTGATGATTATTAAGAGCTTTAAAACTTCAGCGGTGAGACTGAAACACGCCGATCGACGGGCGCCATCGCTGGCGGGCGGTCATCATCCTTTGTTGTCTCGCTGAGAGCGCTAACCCATGGGGTGGCAGTAGTCTGGGCCCTGACTCACACTCAACTCTTCTGATCCTGTGTCTGCAAAACAAACAAACAAACGTAACGAACAAACAAACAACACTCAGGAAAGCGTTTGTGAATTGTACAGTACCTCAAGATATCTTGATGAAAAGCACTAAGATCTGAATCTGGCAGTGTTCGGTGTACCTCAAGTGGCTAGGAACAATAGCAGAGAGGTGACGATGAATGTACTCGATGTGTTCTGGGCTGATGGAACACCATCGACAGTGAGAGTAGAACCATAATGTCTTGTTGTTTTCTTTCTTCCTCACAGCAGGTGCTTTCGTTACCTGTTCCTACTTGACCAATTCTGAAGCTTATTTCCATTTGCTCTTCAAATCTGTAAAACTCTGTTGCCCAGCGTTGTTGTTTTGGGGTTTCCAGAGACGGGCAGGTGTTGGGGTGGTGGGAGTTGTACATTTATGAAAACCACCATAATCGACATTGTTTCTGTGACGTGATCTAGGCTTTATGGTTCGGCGTGGAGGCTCCATCGGCTATCAGCTAACGTCTGCGCAAAATGTCATCCTGTTAGCAAGGTGTTCTCTGAAGGGGACGAACGTAATTCAGTTTGGGACGACGCTTATTGGTTTTTTTACTTCGAGTTACATGACAAGATAGTACAAAGCTAGCTTAGCTTAGCATAAAAACTGTGGCCCTGTGACTTTACAATTTATTTAAATCCGTATGAAAAAAGAGGTTTAAAAACGAAAACATGTGGTGTTATAAACGATTACGTGCTGCTAAGCTAACGGGCTAATGGTTGTCACATTGCAACAAACAAACTTTTCATCTAACTCTCTGGAAGAAAACAAACTTCTCAAAGGGTCACGGTATCCGTTCAAACCACATCGACGTCCAGTCGACTGTCTCGTTCTGTGGCTCTTGGATTCATGTTGGTTTTATTTGGTCCAGTTGGTTTGAAGGGAAACCTGTTTGTCAGTTAGCATCACAGGAGCTAATGTTAGCTACCTCCCAGTTAAAAGTCCAACTGAATCACATTTGGCTTCTTGTTTCTGCAGCTAAACGTACTGTTAACAGTTAAAGAAAAAAATAACCATTGGAAATGAAATGTGGCACGTTTGTGTTTTTGTAAAGCGGCCATATTGTTCCGCTGCCAGCCAGAGACATGGACGGACTGAAACAGGAGCGGATCTGTTAGACAGAGAAATATGGCTGAAACGCTTCCTGTGTAAACACGAGCGTTTAAATCCCCAAAATCAGTGTAAACACGCTGATAGAGACTTTATTTAATGACCTTTTCTCATTAGAAAATAACACAAACTAATATAATTCTGAATGTTTTCTGCTATGAATTAAACAAACAGCTGCGATAGTTAAATATCAAGAGCTGTTTGGATGTAACGTTAACGTGACTCGTCTGTCTGTCGCATCAGCATCAGATCATCTAAAACAAGTTTAACTGCATTTAGGAGACACGCTGCAAACCAAACATTTATCTAATGTCACATGAAACCTCTCCAGCTGACTTTTCAAGTTTAAATATGCAAATGTGTGAATGTAAAAATCTAAAAACGTCCTGATTTGGATTAAATTGCAAGAACAGAAATCAGTTCACTGAATAAAGCCAGCTTAAGGTTTTTAATTTCATTTAGTAGAAATTATAGAATTTACTATATTAACAAACCTCCCTGTAATAAACATCTTCATATAGATGAAAGGAGGAAAGTGAAGAGCTCGGTGTGTGTAGGAGCTGCTGAAGTTTGTTCTGGCTCTAAATGTGAGAAAAAAACACAAATTTTAGGAGAAATGGACTTTAAAGATGCAGTACTGAAGTATATAGATGTAACACACCAGGGTGTGTGTTTTGGACGTTTTCTTTAGCAGATGTGTTGTAGAAGCAGAATATCTCAGAGCTGACCAGCACATGGAAGAACAACGTCTGTAGTGTCTCACCTTAAAGCTGAAGCTTCTGATTCTCCTCCACAAGCTAACCTCTGGAGCTGCACACAGCAGTGACGGCTGGAATGAGCTACAAATCGTTAGTTATGCAGATAACAAACTCACATTTAACAGACTAACATAAAGCTCATAAATGTGACTAAATCACACTGCGGTGCCACATCGTGCTGACAGACGGACACCAGACACACAGAAAACACACCAGTGGTTCAGTTGGACTTGGCGCTGACAGGTATCACGTTATAGGAATGCAGATTTCACGGCGTTCTCGTGCTGATTGCCTTTGAAGTGCGTCGGCTATAGAACGGCTGCTGCTCCACTTTATTTAAATGAGACGTTCTCATTCATCCTGGAATCTGTGTGAAAAGTAGAAAATCAGCCGCAGGTCGCGGGTCACTTTATAATAGCGGTTCTGATTGACCGACTCACTGATGCAATTAGCGTTATTATGTTTATGGCCGTGATGCGGGCCGAGCCGTGGGTGTGGCGCCGTGCAGCGAGCAGGAGGCCACATCAGGCTGCAATCAGAACAGTGCTGAAGATGTTTCATCCATGATGACCACCACAGAACATCTGACCCAAACTAGACTGAACGCTGTTGAACTGTATTTACAGAACCAGTTCCACAGACGGTGTGAAGCACAGAACCTGACCCGGTTCCTACTCTGTGACATGAGGGGGGTTTGGCGCTGGTCCTGAAGTCCTTCATGGCTGAAGGTTATCTGTTGCCCATGTATTCCATTAGAATGTATTCTTGTCTCCTCCTCCTCCGTGTCGCCGTGGTGACGCTGTCCGTGAGCCCGACTTCGGCCCGTTTACTGCACTGAAGCGTTTCTGTGTCTGATGTTCTGTTCAAGTGTCTCGATGCCACTCTGTGTTTGGTTTGTTTTTGGTTGAAGGAGATTCATTTCTCCAAACGGATCATCTGTCCTTTGTTGTGCTTCCTGCTTTTCCAAACACCATGAAAGCGGAGCTACGTGGACTGTTTGTATCTCAGAGGCGCCATCAGTGCAGCACCTGATGTGGGGAAAAGTTCTGCTGAGCATCAGCAAAACTGACGGAAAGGAGAGACAGGCAGGCAGCGTGGCGGCGGCGGCGGCAGCACAAGGGGGAAAGCAGAGTGGTCCGTCAGAAAACCACCCTCAAAACAATCTGTACCAGAATTCCTTCTGTCAGCAAATCCTCTGGAGAGAGAGTCCCTTTGGACAGAAAACCTACTAATGCACTTCAGAGCACACAGCAGCAGCAGCAGCAGCAGCATCAGGCGTCCTCCCTCTTCTCCTCCTGCTCTCCACAGCCGTCCAGCCACAAACACACCGGTCAGCGCTGCGCTTTGTTTGGTTCCTGTTTGTGCTCCTTCTTTTGTGTCTTTTTTCTACATGGTGTAAAATCTAGCTTTTTTCTTTCTTTCTTTTTTTTTGGAAAAAAAAAGACAAATTGAAAACCTTTCTTTAAACGGAGTTCTTCTTTAAAGCATTTCTACCTCATGGCTACAAAACACACGTGGTATTTGATTTGTTCGTCTTTCCAAATGTCAGACATTTGTGGAAAAAAATATATTGAAAATTTAAAAAAAAAAAAAAGAAAAAAAAAAGGAGAGAGAAGATGAAGAGGAGAGAACGACACCGTGAAGTTTTGCGCAGTCTACCTCAGATGACTGTACTTAAAACATTTAGCTGATGGTGCAACCGCAGGCTGCAGCATAGCCTAGTGTGTGTGTGTGTGTGTGTGTGCGTGTGTGTGCGTGTGTGTATGTATGTGTGCGAGCGAGCGTGTGTCTGTCACCGTGTGTCAGATTGGCAAAAACACACACACACACGAGATAACACACTAACGTGGAAAACACACTCACAAGCGACTTGTGAGGCGGGAACAGCGCGGGTCGACCCGGAGGCGACCCGGAAATGTATAATCCAATACATTTGCTTTAATCTTTTGTGAACTACTGTGGTTGTGCGCGTGTGAATGTGTATATACGTGGGCACTCTCTTCTTTTTTTTATTTAGTGTGTTGAATTTTATAAATTGTTAGTATATATAACACACTTGCACAACTTTAAACCAGAGTGTAACGTGTTTCTGTTGTACATACCTATACATACAATACAAAATGCACCACTTGTTTATATGTGTGAATATGTTGCCATACTTGCAGTCAACTTAAATGTATTTTCATGTAATCTGAGGTACAAGCAGCAACAAACGATTCATTAAAGACATTTTCTTGGGAGATTATATCTTGTACATGTCGTTTTTTTTTTTTTTTGCTGTTTATTGGCACTGGTTGCATTGAGGCTCCGAGGGATAAAATGGGGGACTAATAACAGAATTTATTTATCAGTAGAATGGAAAATAAATGTATTGTCCTGCCAAAAAATAGCCCAGCTGAAAAATTGCCTTAATGAGCCTTGAGTTAGTCACCCTTGTGTGCAATTATAAAATCATCCGTGTAGCGCAGGAAGCCAGAGCTGTCGCTTCTCTCATTAAAATGTAACAATTCATTTCTCTTGCTGTGCTAAGAGTGGCAAGACCAAAACAT